AAATTCTCAGCAGTAGAAATCAATTATGAAATCCATGACAAAGAACTTCTTGTAATTGTGGATTCTTTTCAAGAATGGCGTCAATACCTACAAGGCATTTTCAGTCTAGTCACCGGATATATGGATCACAAGAACCTTGAGTATTTTATGTCAACATGTATATTAAATCGTTGTCAAGCTCATTGGAGCATGTCTTTATCAAGATTCGAATTCATCATCAGTTATCGACCAGAAAAATAACAAGGTTTGTCCGATGTCATGTCTATACATTCTTATCTTGTACCAAAAGAAGGAGATGTAGCTTTTGAGCATCAAAGAACGGTTCTCTTGAAGCCGAAGCTATTTCATCGTCGAGCAATAAAATCAACAATGACTGTTGATTTAACTTTTCTCAAGTAAGTCCAATAAAGTATGTCTTCAGACCCTCTTGTTCATGATATCAAGAATAATTCTTTTAAATCTCATGATCCTTCCAAATTCGAGTTCAAGAACAACCTACTCTATTTCGAAGGATGCCTATATGTTCCAAAAGGAGAAGTACGTTTACGTATTTTTTAAGCTCGTCACAACTTCCCAACAGCAGGATATTTTTGATACAATAAGACTTTGGAGCTGATATCTAGGGATTTTTGGTGGCCTCAAATGTAGAAGGTAGTCCAAGATTTTGTACAATCATGTGATGTTTGCTCAAGATCAAAAACTCCTCGTCATCGACCTTTTGGACTTCTTCAGCCATTAGTCATTCTAGAACAACCATGGTCTTCTGTTTCTATGGACTTCATCACGGATCTTCCAATCTCAGATTCTTATGACTCTATATTCATAATAGTAGATCGTTTTACCAAGATGGCACATTTTGTACCATGTACAAAATCTATTATAGGTAAAGAAACAATTAAGCTCTTTCTTGACAATATCTATCGCTATCATGGATTACCCAAGGATATTATATCAGATAAGAGAACTCAAATTGTATCAAGATTTTGGAGGACTCTTTTCAAGATTCTAAAAGTGGATATAAAACTATCTTCAGTATTCCATCTTCAAACTGATGGACAAATAATGTGTGTTAATCAAGTTTTGGAGCAATATTTAAGATGTACCATTAACTACTAAAAAGATGATTGGACAACTCTTTCGCCATTGGCAGAGTTTGCTTACAATAACACGGTACATTCTTCTACAAAACAAATACCTTTCTTTGCTAATTATGGTTATCATCCACGACTTGAAACTTTTGACTTTTCAAAAGTTGATAATCCTCTTGCGAAAGATTTGGCGATTCATTTATCAAAGCTACATGCAACGATGAAGGCATAGTTAAAAGAAGCTCAAGAACAACAAAAAGTCAATGCGGATGTCTATCGAAAAGAACAACTATCATTCGACATGGGTGATAAGATATAGCTACTTCGTCATAATATCAAGACCACTCGTCATTGTGAGAAGTTGGACTATCGAAGGCTGAGACTATTTTCTATTTCTGCACAAATCAATCTGGTCGCATATCGTTTACATCTACCGGAGTCAATGAAAATCCATCCAGTATTCCACATGTCTCTTCTTGACCCATACAAGATAGTGGACATACCAAGAAGACGACAAGCTCCACCTCCTCCTATAGAAGTGGATAATAATGAAGAGTTTGAAGTAGAAGAAGTCTTAGATTCAAGGCGGTGCCGAAATAAATTAGAATATCTTGTCTATTGGCGCGGATATGATATAAGTGAATGCATATGGGAGCCAATAAAGAATCTTGTAATTGCAGCAAAGGCAGTGGAGGCTTTTCATCAAAGACATCCATCAAAATGAAAATGAAAACCTTCTTTATAAAATGAACAACATTTAGGCAAGATAACATTCTACTTTCAATCTTTGTTTATAGCTTCTTTGTAGTTGTGATGCTCGAGAGATGGAGAACTAACAACTAGTAGATTCGACTCAAGAGCCTTCATTTATTGACCTGCCGAATGAAATTTTACGATTGTCACAACCTTTAAGACAACATTATTAAGGTGAAGATCTTAAAGAACAACGTGTTCTTCCTCGAATAGATGGCAAGATACAACGTTTTTGGTTTCACGACTTGATGTCAGGAACATACTCATGTAAGCCAATAATTACATATATAAATAGATAGAAGTAAGTAAAAATAAATTAAATTAAATTAATTCTATTATATTTAATATAAAAGCTTCCTAGAAGCTTCATAGATGTTGCTTTGACTTTATAGATATCTTTAATTGACTTTTTGGATTAGAAACGTGGACAACAAGTTGGCCATGTTCCACACATGTTGTTAGCTTGAAGACCAAGCTAACTATATGGCCCACATGTAGAAAACTTGCCTTGTAAGTTAAGGCATGTGTCCTACAAAGTCAATACTTATTGGAGGTCCTATAGAATGTCACCACATTGTTTCTAGTTAGATAGTATATATAGAGACAAGAGTGAAACCTTCTTCACTCTTATCAACTCCTTTCTTGCTTCCAGTCTAGTTTCAAGGGTTTCTAATTTTCTTGTCTTTTGGCAATAGCCATTCCAGTTTTTCTTTCAATATACATACTTGTTTATTTATATTTTGTTACCTTGCTTTGAGTGAAGGCTCACTTGTCTGAATTTCTTTTTCATTGAGTTCTTGTCCTTGACACTTGAAAAGAGACTCCTGATGTTTGGTGATTTTACTAGAAGTAAAAACAACTCCTGATCGTGTTCCAAATATTCTATTCGAAGGAAGTTATAAAGGCCTCAACAATGATCAAATAATCGGGTGGTCTTTCTACCCTAGTATGGGACACTACCGATCGTTGAGAGGCCCTATCAATCATCTTCGAAGAGAACAAAGACCAGAGTATGTGGCGAATACAATTCATCGCATCATAGATTTCTTCAACATATGATGACCGCTCGTCGAGGAACTCGTCTTTAGAAGAAAAGGTAATGTCACAGACATACTCATGTAAGGTAGTAATTACATATATAAATAGGTAGAAGTAAGTAAAAGTAGATAAAAGTAAGTTAATTCTATAATATTTGATATGGTTGCTTCCTAGAAGCTTCATAGATGTTGCTTTGACATTTTAGGTGTCTTTAATTGACTTTTTGGATTAGAAACGTGGTTAACAAGTTGGCCATGTACCACACATGTTGTTAGCTTGAAAACCAAACTAACAATGTGGTCCACACGTAGAAAAACTTATCTTGTAAGTCAAGGCATGTGTCCTACAAAGTCAACACTTATTGGAGTCTTATAGAACGTCGCCACGTAGCTCCTAATTAGATAGTATATATAGAGCCAAGAATGAAGCATTCTTCACTCTTGTCAACTCCTTTCTTGCTTCCAATCTAGTTTCAAGGGTCTCTAGTTTTCTTGTCTTTTGGCAATATCTATTCCAGTTTCTTTTTTAATATACATACTTGTGTATTTATATTTTGTTACCTTGCTTTGAGTGAAGGCTCACTTATTTGAATTGCTTTTTCATCGAGTTTTTGTCCTTGATATTAGGCCATTTCTAGATGCTTTGAAAAGCCTTATGTATAAAACTTATTAAATATAAAAAGGTATTATCAATAGAATGTCTTTTGATACTATTGTATTTCTTTGGTCTCTATAATAAGAATATATCACTTATTAGAACTTATCGAAGGTGTTAAAGCTAAATTCTCTATAGCTAGATATCTTGTGTATTCTCAGATAGAAAATCATGCTATACAATAATGCAAATAGCTCAGTTTGTACATGTTTGGATTGTCAACTTTCACTATATCCATATAACATTTATATAGCTTGAAAAGAATTAGTTTTTATTCAATGAAATATTCCCGCAAACAAGAATGAGAACACAAGAAACCTTTCGCTAACTCGTTGGACTTACAATGTCCTAAGAAGGTCTTTTTGTCTTCATCAATAAATGCATATAAAAGTTTGCTCAATATGTGCCTTGTGTGCATTACATTGACTCCATCTTTTTAATACCTTCTTTAGCCTTGATATCTAACTGCCACTCATAAGAATAAGTGTCTTAATGATGTAATCAAATTATCCTTGTTATAACAATTGAAGGACAATTCTTTCTAACTACTTCCATTTACTACCTCCCTAGCCAATTTCTTATATATTTCAATTATTACAAATATTATCAATAATATTGGTGCCTAGTTTGAGGCATGTGCCTAGGTAAGTTGCATCTTTGTAGTTGAGGTCTTTCTTGCGATTGTGAATTGAGATACTCGAGACCTGATTAGAAGACTGCTTCCACTCCTTGCCTTCTTGATTAGTTTTTTTCAAATTCCAAGTATTATGGATCTTCTTACTCTCAACTATAATGTGCAACCTTGCAATTGGGGCCATTCTCATGAATCCGAAGCAGGACAAGAAAATGGGAGCCATCCACTGCATAATTTTTTTTCATTGATGATGATGTTGACACCATAAAAACAATAAAACATGGTTGTAGAGTATTTGAGACATGAATGCGAGACTACTTCCTTTTCCTACCTCCCTGGCCACTCTTCTACAAATTCTAATAATAACAGATTTTCTCAAGCAGATTTGCGCCCACTTCTAGGCATGCTTACAGGTTTTCTCGCATTTTGCTGTAGGGACTTGCTAGGCTAAAATTAAATAATTAAATGCACCTTCTGCCATATCTTTTGCAGGACCTTGGGGTCCCACCAATAGTTTCCATTTATAAAGCCGTTTCATATGATCTCACTGCAATTCAAGTTCATGAAAGAATTGGTAAATTGGTTCATATAATGTGCAACGTTCCATTCCAAAACAATTATTTTGATGAAATTTGTTGACTTTGTTGGTTGTGAGACATATCGCAGTGCTCATTGGATTTGAACCAATATCATATTGAAAATACACGGAAGGTTCGACACACTAGGCAGCAATTTGTGTGCAACATTGGAACTGGTCATTGGAAGTACATCTTCAACTATCGTCTGATAATCCACATGATGAAGCTCACATAGAGACATATTCTAGAAGATAGTATAGCAACATATCACTACTTGAATTAGAGAAGTTGGAGATTCATATTACATCAATTGGACAGTACCACAAATGTAAAGAGAGTGGATTCACGTCACTAATGCATGTCAATGCCAATTAACGCTGAGATGCATCCCATTGTCCGTGTGCCGAGGTTTAAAGAGAAAAGGTTTAAAGACATTTCCACTCACACCCTTCCCAGACTGTTCGAATATGGTCAGCTCAGTGTTAAAAGCGTCTGATCACTCAACAACTAACCAAAATGCGCATGTCAAGGACAGCTAAGACAACATGCTGCAACAAATTTGATGTGGATTGAACACACTGAAGCTGCCATGATAGCGCTATACTCTCTGTTAAAAAACGGGTAATGGGTCGTTCGGACGAAGCGATCGACCCAGAGTACCTACGATCATCAAAACCTCGCAAGGTGACCTAAATTATATGGAGATTACACCCTGCCAGAGGATTAGGGTGCCAATATTCCAATAAACCAACTCAACTATACTATGTACAAAGGCCTGGGTCTACCTTGTTCGACACAATATCCAAAATCTGCGTTGCAGCTGCAGTAGACAAGTTCGAAACAGGAAACAACCGAGAGAGGACTATTGTACAAATGCATCTGTGCACCCTGCACCACGAGCCGCACCAGCGATCGAATATAGCCAAGCAACCAGATTATTCCAGCGTTCTTGACACAATGCGCTCTGGTGCGCTGTGCGTTACCGACAGGAAATTTTCCCGCAGTCTGTAAAACATTTCGCCGGCATTGCAATATCCCTGTGCGTACCATTACGTCTCCTTCCTGTCATGGTTTCTCACATTCGCGCCTGAGACTGCCCACGAGCATTTCTTCCATATCAAGCTATCCTGGAGAATACAACAAGTGCCACGGACGGGCAATAGTTAAAAGATCTAATCGACACTCGTCATTATGTGTGAAGGGGCCCTGAAGAATGTGCTATAACAGAAAGACAAGTTCAAGCACATCAAAAGGAGAACGTGCCAATCGCCAGAGTATCCTTGTTTCGAATGATGTGATGTGTGTAATGATGCCATTACCTGCATGATGCAGCGCTCTGGTGGCGGGCACGGAGCTGCTAGGTCGGAATCTACAGGCTCCGATGGATGCTCCACGGCTTCGAAAGTCTCCAAGGACAGCACATCGTTTAATGCAACGATGGGACTGATCCAGTTCCCACTGAACCTGTCTTCCTGCATAGAAACAAAGAGACAAGCATTACTTTCCTATATTAGTCTCGGAACGCAAATATCTGGCTATGGTCCCCTTGCACCAGGTCTTCTAGCTGAATAACAACGTCTCCTTGCGGATGTCACACGTGAACTTTTGGAATTAGAATTTCAGAGGTAAAATATTGGACGACAGAAAGGACGATAAACAGCAAGTCGTGGACATAACTCAGTTTATATATATATATATATATATAGACGTGTGTGTGTGTGTATATATATGTATTGAGATAGATAGATGACTCCCTGATTAGTTGTATGGCATTTTTGCAGAGACTTAGACAGGAGGTCTAAATCGTCCCCTAGGTGCGGCAAGACTCTGTACTTGGTATCACTCTCACATCGTGTAAGTTTTCTTGTACCCTTTTCTCAGTCTGAATGTGCTGTGTCATCACTAATACCTGCCGCAGAGAACTAGGCTACCTTGTTCTTACTTGTTGCTGTTGTAAAATATCGACGCTACCATAAACCTAGAGCAATATTGTAGAACCCAGCGATGATAACATGAAGACTCTTCTATCAGTCTCACAGGACCCGCGAATGTCTCACTGAAATCAACTGCTAAAGCCGCGAATAATTCCCAAAATCTAGAAGCTTGTAAACATCTGGAGAAGGGATGGGGGAGGTAGCTTACCGGATAACGACCATGTCTTGGATGATTAGTCGGCCAGCCGTACGAAAACTTTGTGAAGACTCCAACCATCCCTCCACAATGCCGTGCCTACGCAACTCAACATCACACCCTCAAACACCACGATGATTCTCTAACATTGTCACTCACAGCCAGCCCTTCGAATCCATCCTCACCCCCGATTTACAACTAGCACGCATTACAGGAACGTTCCTTGCCCCTCAATGGTTTCAATTGCAGCGTCCAGAAGAGGTAACTTGGCAACAGGCGCAGACACTCATGATACATTACAAATTGGGTAGCATCATCCAGCGCCACAACCCCACAATCATACATGGTACATTAACATGCAGCTTCGATCTTCTCAGAGATAACGCCGACCTTATCGGACGAGTACTGGAGTAGATTCAGGTTGTACTCCTCTCAGGACTCGAACGTCCCTGAGCCCCGAGCCCTTCCCTACCATCACCTCAGGCGCGCTCCAATACTCCCCACCCAGCAGTCAAACTGATACAACTTAGACCCTTTACAATCGAAACCGATATGCTGATCACAGGCTTTTGCACAGAGATATATATATATATATATATATATATATATACACCTCTTGACGAAGCTGTCACAAAGGGGCACTGGCAGTCTCGATGACCCTGCAGACAAACCTCTCGCAACGCAGCAAGATCACCTCCGCGAGCAATCAGGACCTCAATTCGTGCTGCGGAAAGACTTTATTTTGTAATAGAGAGCTCCATAAAATGTCCTTCGAAGCGAGTCTAAATCGAGCGCTGAGACCGTTCCCGTGGTGGGTCCAATATGGCAATACTATCATTAGCGCTTCGCTTTAGATAACCTTTCCCTACTGCACACGCATCCCGATAAGTCACTGGTTTGCCGATGCTCGCCGGAGGTGCTAAACTCCTGGGGTGGCGCCCAAATATGGTGCAGCTCTGTTAACTGCCACGCCTGAAAACGGAATGTTTCCAGGATGTGAGTGATCTCGAGGATTCGCCTCAGCTCCTTTTCCCCGGAATCAATATTTTTTGTTTCATTGCGTGGAGGTGTTCGTGTTCTGGGCTTCGTGCCCTCTAGTGAGCCCTAGCGACACCGCTCGTAGGGGTTCCCGCACCTCCCGCTTTGTCCTATTGCCCCCACGGAATTAGTCAATGGACGTTGAGTCCAGCGGGGCTCCCCATACTAAACCCTTCTAAACGTCGGGTTCCACTCTCCCCTGCCCTGAGGGTGACCCCATCGTGGCTGCCCTTTTACTTTATTATTATACATTCTTATATTTTTTGGCTTTATTTTTTGGCTTCCAAGAAAGCACGACAACTTTGAGATCACATGATTCGTGATTAATTTCCCACGCTTTGAAGTTCTAGCAGCTTTAGAGAAAAGCAGGAACAATATAATAAGCTCCCAACTGAAAAAGCTCCATGTGAACATAAAATATATGCAATGAAGTGAAAGCCTCCCGACCGGAGAAGGGAGAGATCCCTTGCCCTCTGGCCTCTGCCCTCTCTCCCTTAAGTAAAATGTATGCCCGTACTTGACAACCAAAAGGCTCTGTGAGTCCAACCCTGTAAAAAAAAGGACAGGATGGGACAGGACTACTTAACTCAATCCCTTTTAATTTTTAATTTTTTTATAAAAGGTTCCACTGCTGCTTCTGTCATAGTTTGGGGACTGTAGAAAAGCAAAAGCAGGACGTGATGGGTTGATGATGAGCTGCCAAAGCTCAGAGCTTCTTTAGCAGGGGGGCAACTTGGGGAGGTGGGGGCAGAGCAGCCCTCGGTTTAGAATAACTGCATGTGGGGGGACTGTTCCACGATGGAAAAGAGGAGAGTGAAAGACCTGTTCTTCGTGTTTCTGTTTCTCTCTCTCTCTCTCTTCCTCTGAACAGGCCATCCCATTTGTTGCAATCGTCATGTGGTGATGGGACTCTCTTCTGTTCCATTCCACCCAGATAAACTCTGCCCCAAGCTCCTCTTCTCTAGTGGCTCCCCCCCTCTCCCCTGCAAGAATCTGCTTCCAAAAACATGAAAACTTTCCTTCTAAAGTTGTCGCCACCTCTTTTTATATACATGCACATGTATTTAAATTAATAAAACTTTAATTGTTGTGAATCTTAATTATAAAAGTGGATAATTTTAAACTGTCCTTAAATAAATATAGTTTATTATTTTTTCCAATTTATTTTATGTATGCAAAGTGTGCATAGTCACATAGTGTATCCAAGGATATTTATACATTTATTACATATACAGGAAGGTTTAAAAATACATGCATATTTATCAGATAGATAACATGTGCCTAAAAAGTTTTCATATTCCTTTGTTTACCTCTATATGCTTAACGTAGTATAGGTATAGACAACAAGATAAGTAAAATTGAGGTATGGGGATTGATTGAAAATTAATATTTTAATAAAATCACTTAGAATAATGTATACCATTAAAAACTAAGATTATCTCTATATGATTGAAATCCAAAATTTCTTCTACAAGAATGTAACTAATGCCACTTGACTTATTTTAGAAAATAATATCTTACTTTTGCACTATTTTTTACTATACCTCTTGCTTATGTTAAAATTATTTAATTGTGTTTTCTTTTAGCTCTGGCTACTATTATTATTCTCTCTATTTTTTTTTCTTTTTTCTTTTTTACTTTAAAAAACTTATATCATTGACTTTAATTTTGACAAAAATATGTTCTATAATGAATATAAATCATAGCTTTATTATTTATTATTCATTATTTTTTCTCTTTGTGAAAGTAAAATAAATCCAAAAAATATTCTATTATTCTATCTTTGAATACGTTTTATTTATTTATTAATTAATATCACTTTGTTGGAACCTCAAACATCTATCTACTTTTATTCCTCTTCATCTTTATTTTTATCAAAGTTGTGCTTTGCTTTATTGATCACAGTGATTTTGCAAAGGAGTTTCTTTATTGTGCTTGCCAATGTTACAACTGCTACACTCACATATTGTAACCACTATGGGCTAAGCAATCTCTTTAGAAATGACATAACTTTTAAATATGAAGGTGAAGAAAGTGGATGTGGGGTTGCTGGAGCAAAACCTAATATCTAACCAATAGAGAGTATCCATATAGCTATCATGCTCCCGTTCATTCTTTGATTAATACTTTGATTCATGAACAAATTCACAGCAAATTGGTGAATTAATATCTTCATGCGCCTAAATATCTTCACATGAGCAATGGCAATTGCTAGAAGATCAGGTACCTCAAGCATTTAGTTTTATTCTCCTTTAAATAGCCATCGTAATTTGTTGTCTGTATCCTGCTATGCATGAGCATGCATAGTAGTTTTTAAAATATTTTGACGATCTGGTATAGATCCAGTCAAAGACACACTCTCAACATCCAACATATTTTTAGTATGTATAATTTTAGAAGCAATTGTATATAATTTTTAGATGTCATACATATCTAATCTAAATCAATGACAAATTTTTTATATCAATTAAATTTTTTAAACTGATATTCCTACTATAGTAGTTTGATTATTGATATATGCAATTTTTTTGAAATAATTCTTTATTTAAAACAAAGACTACAAATTATTTCTATTGTGGATTTATTAGAATAATATTAATTAGAATTCACAATGTATATTAATGGACTTTTTTATGCAAATATATTTTCTTGACTAGCTAGAATAATCATTCTTTTAACAAAACATGATGGAGGTTTTGCACGACCTGCTCAAAATATATAGAAAGTAGAATCTTTTGTGAATAAATGTCTTTATTTGTAGATATAACAGCAATATTTGCATCTCTCATGAACAGTAATATGTTTATTCTAATTCATTGAAGGACATTGTTTCAATTCACAACTAAATTTTTTACTTTAGAATTGTAAAGTCTAACTATTACATTGATAAAAGTGGTTGTAAATAATACAAATATGTTTTTTTAAATGACATTGAAAATATACTTTGATTGCTTTAAATATATTAGGTAAATTTAGTTTTTTTAGGAGATTCATAAATGTTGGGTTTTTCCTATAGGAAGACAAATTTGGCAATGAAGATATTAAACTTCATTGAGCCATATAAATAAAGGTTGGAAAAAAAAAAAAAAAAAAAAAATGCAAAGAAGAAAAAAAAAGGCTAAAGCAATGAGTGGGTATGAGGCTCACCCCAAGTACTAGGCCACCATGTAATACGAGGTATTGCATTGCATTGTTTACAACAAGTCAATGGCTTTACATTGCATAGTTTATCAATAACTCTTGAATATTTCAAAACTAATATAAAGATTGATTTGATCTTTGATGAAGTATTTTTTTTACCTTGTCTTGCAAATATATGATGTTTTAAAATAAGAGAGCTTTTGATTTAGTTTTATATTTATTTGTATTTTTTTGATCCAAAGTTGAGATAAAATTTGTCTTAATAAATTTCATATCAATATATTTATTTACTTTTGTAACAATGTAGATGTAATAAATAGAATATTCTAAAAAGAAGTTAATTTATTTTTAACTTAAAGAATGCACTAGAATCCATAGAAACTCAAAGAACTCAAAGAAATTCATGGAAATCCATGTAAACTTAAAAAATTTATGGAAATACATAGAAGTCCATAAAAACCCACTATAACATACAAGATTTTTTTTTTTTTTTATATGCTTAATGGCACAAGTTTCTAATTCTCTAAATATGATCAAGATCATATATACTGAAAATAATGAAGACATAAATACCATTGTAAATATAGTTTATTTTGAAGTCTTTTTAACTTAATTATTTAAATTATTTTAGTAAATAAAAAATTATACTAAAGAAACATAAATGGTTCTATATATATATATGACTATTTTTTCTTGGTCAAAATGTTTTTAAGAGTAATCAATTTTTGACTAAAAACAATAAATTAACTATATTTTATTACAACTTTTTAATGGGCAATGGCATTAGTTTCCATATACATATATATATATATATATATATATATATATATATATATAATTTATCAAATTATATAAAAGAAATAATATATCATAAGAAATAAATACTACTATTTTATATTAAAATAAATAATAATTAAGAATTTATAATAGAAGAAGCATTATATTTAATATATTATAAAATAAATTAAAGTTTCTTAAATTTTAATATAAATATAATGTTAAAAGTATATTAATAAATTATTTAATAATCTAAAAATAAATTATATTTTGTTTTATTTATTTTTGGTTTTAAAGATATCATATAGCTAATTTAAAGATTACTTAGTAATAAAGTTAATAAAATAAAAGTAATAATTTAACTAATTTTAAATATTAAGTAATTTATTAGATTTTTGAATATTATAATTTAATAAAATTTATTAAATATTATAATTTAGTAAAATTAATTATATTATGATTTAGTCAATTTTTTTTGAAAAAATATCATACATATTTCTAAAATTTGCTGAAATATTAAGAAGTTTCACGTCCATGAAATATTATGAGTGTCCTTATTTTTTTCATAATTGCAAATCTACCCTAGAAGTTGATAAGGTATAATCTTAATGCTATTTTGGATGAATTTGGAATCCAAACCACATGCCGTATAGATTTTGGCCTCTCACAAATTAGACAAGTTGTCAACTTCAAGGCTAGATTTGCAATTATGAAAAAAAAAGTCTTATCAACTTCAAGCAATCTTGAGACAATAATATTCCGCTAAGCTATAGTATATTAGAGGTGATTCAACTATGAA